TCTAACCCTAGGCTCTTTCTCTGTCTCTGATCTTGTATCACCAAATACTTAGGGGATAGCTTTATCTCAGTGTCCCATAGACCTCTCAAACTCACTGTGTCCACAATAGAACTCACTTTCTCCTCCCAAAGCCCCCTCCTCTTAAATTTCCCTTCTTCTGTCGGGGGTGGTAGGAGTGGTGGTAGGGAACCACAGTCCTTGGAACTGTCCTCAACTCTTCCCTCTCCTATCCAATGAGTTGCTAGTTGCTGTTGATTTTGCCTCTGTGGTGTCTCAGCTCTCATTCTAGCTCAGACCCTCATCACCTTTTGCTCTCCCCTCCTAATTGGTTTCCTCACCTCCAGCCTCTCCCTTCATAATCCATCCTCCACACAGCTACTACGGGATGCCCCTAAAGTCAGACCATGTGACTGTAATAGATAGTATTAAGATAGCACTGGAATGTTTGCAAAGCACTTTACAAATATGATCTCATTCGATTCTCACAGCAACCCTGGGAGATAAGTGGTGTTATTAATCCTCATTTTACAGGTGAGGAAACTGAGGCAGATAGAGGTGAAGTGACTTGCCCAGGGTCTGAGGCTGGATTTGAACTCAGGTCTTCTGGATTCCAGGCACAGTGCACTGTGGCACGACACCCCCCCCTCCTCGCCCCCCTCCAGCAGCCACCATATAATTTTTCTGTCCCAAAAGCTGTAGTGCTTAACCTGGGGTTCCCAAACTTGTTTTGAATATTTGTATAACTGTATTCCAGTATCATTTGCTTCCTTTGTAATCCTACATATTTTATTTTATGCATTTAAAGCCTGATTCTGGGAAGCTTCCCCAGACTGCCAGAAAGGGTCCACAACCCAACCAAGGCTTAGAACCCCTGGGCTAGGGGTTCCATCTTTTCCCTATGCTCACGTGACAGCTCCTCAGTCTTGCTTTTAGAACTTCACTCCAGCCTCCCTTTTCAAGTTGGGGCACATTACTCTCATTCATGTACTGTGTGTTTCAGTCATACTGGCCATGTTGTTCCTTCAACATGACAATTCATCTCCAGCCTTCATGCCTTTGAACTGGCAGTGTCCCATGCCTAGAATTTATTCCTTCTCATTTCCACTATTTGCAATTCCTAGTTCCATTTGATGTCAGCTCATGTACCTAGTCCTAAGGAAGCTATTGTGATCTATTGATGCTAGTGCCTTCCTTTCCTCTGGAAATCTCTTCTTATACAATTTTGATTTGATTTTCTGTGTTTCCTTGTCTTCCCTCAAGAGAATGTAGGCATCTAGAAGGCAGATTTTTTTGTTTTTGTTTTTGTTTCCTCAAACACCTGGCACTATGCTGGACACTTAGTAGGTGCTTAATAAATGTTTATTGAATGAATAACAATTTTCCCTGCCCTCAAGAAACTTACCTTCTCCTGATTGGATTACTCGATTAGTATGCACAGTTAAGTATTGGTTTCCAGGTGGGGGCCACTAAAAAATGAGGAAATCACAAAAGGTTTTTCAAAGGAGGGGGCATCTGAGCAGAACCTTGAAGGGGAGCTAGCGATTCCCAGAGGTGGAGGTGAGGAGGGAAGGCATTGGGGGTGGGGGGAGCCCAATAGTCTAGTCTGCATAAAGCTATATGGTAGTGGAAGTTTCAATGTCTTGTTCCGGAAATATCCAGCAGGCCAGTTTAGCTGGAACAGGAGAGTTTGTGAAGGAGGGTGATGGGCCTGGGAAGGAAGGTTGGAGCCCGACTGTGGAGGGCTTGAAAAACCCAATAACAAGAGGAGTCTATTGGATTCTGCAGTTAAGAGGAAGCCATTGGGGCATCCTGAGGAATTGAGTGGCTTGGTCACACCTGCACTTTCTAGTATCACTTGGAAGGCTATGTAGACAATCAGTTGGAGGCAAGGGGACCAGTTAGGAGGCTTCTCTAGGGCCTAAACTGGGGTGGGGGCCTCATGAAGGGAGAAGAGGTGAACGGGAGAGAGGCTGGAGAGGAAGAACGCCTAAGACCTGGCAGCTGATTGGCTGAGGGGGTGGGGGTGGGGTGTCATTGAACATACCCATTCCTGTGCTGAAAGTCTATAGTTGGAGGAGAAAGGACCGATCCTTTCCCTCTGGGTTAGTATTCCTCTCCCCTGGTGGTCTGTGAAATTCTACACCAGGGGTGGGGAACCTTTGGCCTCGAGGCCACCTGTGGCCCTCTAGGTCCTCAAGTATGGCCCTTTGACAGAATCCAAAGTTCACAGAACAAATCCCCTTCATAAAAGGACTTGTTCTATAAAACTTGGACTCAGCCAAAAGGCCACACCCAAGGACCTAAAAGGCCCAGGTTCCCCACCCCTGATCTAGGCTCAGCCCTGGTATGGAATTCTTTCTCTGCAGGTCAGGTTATGCCTTTGTAATAAGCCGTTCACAGACTCACCTTCCACTTCCCCCTGGTGATGGAGATAGCCATGTTATGGGGATAAGGATCAGAAGGGTGGTTAAAAATCATTTGGTCTCATCCCCACATTTTACAGGTGAGGGGATTGAAACCTAGAGAGGTTGTTACTTGCCCAGGGTCACATTGAGTCAGTGGCAGAGCTGGTGTTTGGAGCTGGGTCCTTCAGCCGGAGACACAGCGTGCAGTGCATCTCTCGGGGAAGGTTCAAGCTGAGCCCAAGTAGGGACTGGTGTTAAGTTACAGGGTAGAGGGATCAGAATGAAACACAGGCCCGCCTGAGGCTGGAGTTTGCCCTCTTGCCCAGCCCAATTAAGTGTGTAATGTGATCTGCTCACAGTTATCTGTCAGAGTCAGCATGGCACAGTGGAAGGAATGCTGGACCTGGGGTCAGGAAGGCCTGGGTTCAAATCCCACCTCTGACTCTCACTGGCTGTGTGATCTTGGGCAAATCACTTCATGGCCATTGGCGTCCAATTCTTATCTGTAAAATGAGGCAGGTGGAGTGTTGTTGAATCATTTCAGTGTAAGTCCAACTCTTTCTGACCCCATTTGGGGTTTTCTTGGCAGAGATACTGGCATAGTTTGCCATTTCCTTCTCCAGCTCATTTTACAGATGAGGAAACTGAGGCAAACAGGGTGAAATGACTTTCCAGGTTCACACAGCTAGTAAGTTTCTGAGGTTGGATTTGAACTCTGGAAGAGGAGTTTTCCTGACTCCAGGATTGGCACCCTATCCATAGCTCTTAAATAGATGACTAGGGCTATAATAATCCTGGTTAGGGTCCCCTTGTGGGGTTTTGGGTGAAATGTAAAGTACTTTTTCATAAATCTCACCTCACTATAGAAATGCCATTACTTATGGGGATTGTTCCTAAAATGCTAGCCTAATTCATGGACTTTGGTCTTTGGAATGTGTCTTGTGATGCTGGATTTGAGATGTGAATTAGGCTTGGGATTCGGGAGTGAGGAAGACCTGGGTTCTAATCCTGCCTCAAACTTTTACTAGCTGTGTGACCCTGGGCAAGTCATCTCACTTCTGTCTGCCATCAGTTTCCTCCTCTGTAAAACGAGGCAGGGGTTGGCTTGGATTGCCCTCTGACGTCCCTTCCAGCTCTAAATCTAGGAGCTTGTAATGCTGTTTCCCTTTTGCAGCTGTTAAAATCAATCTGCTTTCCCTGACCCACGTGGTGTTCTTCGTGGGGGGAGGGGCACGGCTGCGGGCCGATGCGGCGAGATCAGTCGTTCAGCCCTTGTTCACAAAGCAGTCGGGGCATCCAAGCCCCTGTGTTCTGCTGTGACCAGTTGGAGAGGTGGGAAATTCAGAACTCCCAGGGGTGGGGAACCTTTGGCCTCG